CTGTTGGACCTGGGCCTGGGCCTGGTCCTTGGGCTCCCGAGAACCTGCGCCGTGGTCTGAGATCCTCCTCGCAGATCTTTGGGCTGACGTCTGGAGGATTCTGATCCTCCGCGTTCCACTTCGGAAGTGCATTTTTGGAGGTGGGTCTTACCGGGTCCGGCCGCAGCAGTCTTGCGCTGGCACCCGGGACTGAGGCACTTGACCTCGGACGTGACCACGCCCGCGTCGGTGAGCGTCTTGCCTTCATTCTCCTGGAGCATGGCTCCAAACTTCCTGAGGATGGAGGGGCTGCCGCACTTCCTGTCACCCAGCGCACCGGGCCCGTAGGACTTTCTGTCTGTAGTCGGCGACTCCGCTGCGACGGGCTGGGCGGTGGAGCGTGGTGATGAGGCTTCCTTCTGTCTCAGCGGGGGCTTAGCAACTGTGTTTTCCTTGTCGGGGCAACCCTTCGCATGAGCCGATCGGTTCTTCCGATTTTCCAGCTCCTCGAAACTTCCCAAAAATTGCTCATGTCCCATTCTGTCATAAAGACCAGAGAGGAAATCAGAAAAACGGGAATAAAAATGTACATTTGGAACATATGCCCCCGAGGTAAACGGCAGTTGACCCAAAAATCTCCCGTACCTTTGACTCGCTGCTCTTCTTCCGCTCTCATTTTGGTACGCGGGGAAATCCTGACTCACTCGAATAGTGTCGCTGAAGTGCTGAAAGAGATGCAAGCATGCCTTTGTAAATAGTATACCTGCAACTGTCAGTCAAGGATTGAAATAAGTGCGCTACTTTGGGAGCGGTGACCACATTCCCTTTTGTCAATGTCATGTATCGCCTCTTTTTAACGTTTCTAATTTGAGTGTTTTTCAAACGTCCGTTTTTTTTTTTTTTTTTGTACTCACCACGTGGCGAGCGCCATTGTTCTTTCGATTCGCGTGCTTCCCGTGGCCCAGGTAGTCCTGCAATAAGTCACCGATCTCCGAAACGCCGTTCTGGTGGCCTGCGGGGTAGCTGCGCCCGTCGCTGCGGTGACGGTTGCTTTGATGGGCGGTTGCAAAAATGCCGCCGCCGTGGTTCCCGGGGCCGTCGTTGATGTTATGGTGGTTGCCCGGGGTGACGCTGTTCCCTCCCCTACGTGCCTGGACTTCATTGTACAGCTGAAAGGTGCAAATGGAACATTGGATTACTTCCCCTTTTTAATTCTTCTGATATTGCCACTCCGCTTGTCGTAATCCCCACATGATATTCTGCACGGCAACCGGGTATCGGCTTTCAAAGCATGCGCGCGGGAGTCTGGCAGTGTTTAGCAACATCTGTCAGCACGTGGTTTAATTATCCTGTGACCAATTGTCGATATCATGACTGCAACACGAGTTGCCAACACAGTAGCAGCGCATACGACACTAATGAACACACTGTGGAGACAATATATGGTCACCTACCATGTTACCGGAGTTAAATTTTGAATTTATCTCTACTTTCTGCATGGTTTTTATTTTTTAAAAATGATATGATCATCAAAATGTCTTTTTTTGAATTAATTGTTTAATTTAATTCATTTAATTTTAATTGTTTTAATCAACTATTTTGGGCATATCTTTATAAAATAATGTCGATTTTTTTAAATTTTAATTGTTTTAATGAACTATTTTGGGCATATCTTTATAAAATAATGTAGTTTTGTTTTTTTTTTTTTGCCAGTCCTGGAACATGTCTCTCACAAATCATTACGTGTTCATGAGTGTAGTTTGGTGAGTCAGTACCCGTCAGATCCAAAGAAGAGTAACCAAAGTGTAAAATGCAGGCGGAGTCGTCACCTCTTCTATTTTCCTCTGAATGTCCTGCAGCTGGTCTTCCCACTCTTGCATCTCAGAGTCAAAATTGTCCACCACGTCGCGCCTCTCTTTACCCCAACCTCGCCCGCCATGTGCCAGCCCGCGCTCCAGATCGATGGCCGCCATGACGTGGGCCTCTCCTTCTTCTTTTTTTTTTTTCTCTCCAAATAATGATTTACGATTCACTTCCCCGTCTGTGAGTGACAGCAAGGATGATTTTACAGTATGCAAGTTGCAACCTCTGTATCGTGACAGATTGTGCTGGAGAGCAAAAAGATCTACTGAAACACATGCAGCATAATTGACCGTTAGAAAAAAAAAGAGTTCCAGAAGGTCCCCAAGTAATCTTTAGTAATAAAGTTTGTCCACACAGACAATATATGCATGTGAGTATTACTGTATTGTACGGTATTGTGTTGCTAGCAGTTGTTTGAAGGTTTGTATTGATCTTAACAACAATGCTAATTTCCTTTAGCCCCTTGGTTTTAGTTAAGCTAACAGACTTTGGTTGCACAAAATGTTTGGTTGAATATTGGTTGGCTTTTGAAATGTAGGTTTGGTTCTCTTTTTTTTTTTTTTGCTTCATGTGTCAGATTGACAGTTGAGTTCAATTGCGGGTGACGAGTAGAATTGAAGCAAGCACGCTGGACCTCTAAGTGATGCTCATGAGTCCTTTTCTTTCCTTTGCGGTGTTATACAACGGTCTTTAATTTTTTTTGACGGTGATAGAGTGAGCGCTAAGGAATACTTTCAAAAGTTTTGTGTAATGCCGTTGCGTCCTCGTCATTAGACCTCCTGCGCAGCACGTGCGAGCGCGCCGGCTACGTTACTTGACACAGTTTTAGCTTCTCGGACCACTTTGCTCACCCTTCCCTCGCATGAGCGCACACTTCGCCAAGTAGCACGAAAGACTCGCCAGGCATGCGTCCCAGCGGCTATTTCCCACGAGCACACATGCGGCCAGAAGAATGACACCAGGCCCTCCTGCTGAGCAGCAGACCTGCCTTTACGATTTTGCATGATTTGAAATTTTTCAGATTGAGAGCACTTTTGACTCATTCACTGCCGAGAACGTTTACACTCGTCAACTGGAATCTTATCGTTTTCTGTCACCGACGTATATTTCAACGGGTAGGTGCGGAGTAGGAGCTTGCCCAGCTTGTACTCTGAAATTCAGGTTTGTAAACCACCGGGATGACAAACAGATCCCCGTAAATGTCGAATTTGCATGGCTTTGAATTTCATTGATTTATGGCCTTAAGTGTTTGTGTAATAGCGCCTGATATAATAATGTAGGAAATATTTCCAAGTCGGCATAATTCCCGAGTAGTTTGCACGTCTGCCCTCCCCTGTGCCTTTCGCCCACGTTCCAAAATGATGCGTGTTAAGGTCACCGAACACGGAGTTGTCTATTGGCGTGAACGCAAGTGCGAACGGTTTGATGGTCTGTATGTGCCCGGCGATTGACCAGCAACCATTTCAGGGTGTACTCCGCTTCTCGCGCCATGAACAACAATTAAGAATTTGATAACAATTAAAGACAACAATGCTCCTACCTTGTTCCAGGTGCCAAACCAAAAGCTCTAGTCTCCCTGGACTCTAGTAAATCCCCCAATCGGGTCCAGACCCTGGTTCTAAGTCACCCCCGCTTTCCTCCAAGCAGTGCCACTCTGCAGCCCCAGTCCCCTTGTTTTTCCTCTCTCGTGTTACGAAAAGCTCATTTTAAAGAGCCCCCTCCCTCGCCCCAAAGTCACACCCCCACGTTGAGGTTAAGTCATTGAACAAAAGAGTAAACAACCTCCTCCTCCTCCTCCCATCTGTGGTTTTGGAGGGGCTTCAATATCATAATGTCAAATTTATTCCAGCATCTGAAGACTCCAATAGGACAACTGTCGTCACCATCATCCCGGCTAAAATTACGCAAGGGATAGGGGTGGCGGATTGCGGAGTTGGAGGGAGGGAGAGTGTTTACATAGCTATTTAAGCCCTCCGACGTCTCCGGGCCAATCGGCTTCTCTGTTGCTACTCCGCTCGCAGGCGTCCGGGCAGATTTTGTCTTGTGACTCGAACCATTTTATTCCAATGGATGCCAAGTGGGTGGCTAATTATATTTGATTCACTACAGCCAACTACCCGTTTACCAAGTGGGGGGTACATTCCACAACCACACGCAGAGGTAAAAATCCACAATATACAGTACAGACCATGTAAACCAATTGTACCTTTGAGATATGAGCTTTATTTGTCATGTGAGCATACTCATAACTCACAACACTTGTATCTGAAATCATCTTTGCTCGATGAAAAGCATGGAAAGGCCAATAAATAGCCTGTTCCGGCCTCCCACTCCCACAAATGCTTTTAATTTATGGTATGTTAGGGTGTTGTTCATTTGGGTGTGCCCGCCTTAGCCACCGGGAGGCAGTATAACAGTCATATAGACACGAAGAAAGAAAAAATGGTCTAATACCACTGTCAGTGACTCAGTTATATACTGTAATATGTCATTTTTCATGGAGGATAAAGAATATATGCCTGTGAATATGATGTTATCGTTCTGTAGTTGATGTTCAAATATGCATTAAGTGTTCTAAAACCGCAACTATCACTGCTAACCGTTAGTATGTCAAAGGCACTTTTTATTTTGGGGTGCGTCGCCACCCCCTCCCAGCAATTTCACTTTGTGCGGGCGCAAATAATGCAATTTAGAAAAGAAGAAAAAAAACTATTTCGACAAGTCGTAGAAAGTAAAATGTAGGGCGTAAAATTAATAATTACTTATGTAACTATTGAGTCAAGTGAGCAAATATTCCAAGATCGACTCCTAACTTCCTGGATGCTTTAAACGCAACAGAAACGCGCGGAATGCCAGTGTACGTCCTGCCGTAAATCAAAAACAAACTGTCTCTGCTTTAGGCGATGCCAGCGGGGGGTGGGGATTGGTTTTGTAACTTGCTTTGGAACAGCAATGAGCTGACTTCTGTCCTAAACTCTTCTGAAGCCCAAATGTGTCTACCAGCAAGGTTAAATCAGGACACAAAGGTCATTCAGGTTTACTACCCCGAGCTTTTCAACAACATCAACAACCATAAAGCAATTGCAGCTAATCAATTTTGAAAAATAATCTAACTTTCTCCACTCATGTGGTCTAACAAGGACTCAAGTGATCTCACCTTCTCCTGGGACTTATTCCGTAGGGTGTTAAGGAAAACGGGAACGTGGCAGGGAAGTGGAGCGTTTTCCCCTGTGCTTTTTGGGAACCTTGGCAACAAATAATGCGGTGAGAGGGAAAGGAACAAAAAAAAACCACAAAAAAAAAAAGTCAAATCAACAGAGAAGAACCGACAGGGGATGCATGCCGATAAAGAAAGCAGTGGCGGGGTGGCGGGGGGCCGTTGAGTCACAGAACAAAGAAAAGGATGAAGAGAAAGACGAGCTTAAAGATGGTGGCGTAGGAGAGGGAGGAAAACAGCACGAGTATGAGGATGAACAAAATGATTGGCTGGAACATCTAGGAAGTGAAACATGAGGTTGCGAGTGAGGAAGAAAATAAGAATTACCATCAGGACAAAACTATCAGAAGGAACCGATTGAAAGTCGGTCCCTCCAGGATTTTTTTTTTTTGGTGATGTCACGACGCTTAATGCAAAGTCAGCCGATCGCCGTCAACTATGCGATTGGATTTTGTAAAATTGGACCAATCGTCGGAGCATCCCCGTAAGTTTGGCCAATCGTCGCATTCTCCTGAAATCCTGGAGGGACTGTAAAAGTGGCCGATTTTTCGTTTTCTCACCGACAACGGCTCCTCAGTATTCCTGTCCTCCAGCCTGGGCGCTTGCAATCTCTCGACGAAAGCCTGTAGTTCCTTCCTGAAGGCTTTCATTTGCGAGATGATGTGATACAGCAGCTCGTGCTCCCTGATCCGGCCCGCGTCGTCCTCGCCGCCGTGCCCCAGCTCGCCGTTGGAAACGTAGACCCTCGCCTCCGAGACGATAGCCGTCGTGTCGGCGATCAGTCGGTCGATGGTCCGGACGAGCCTCTCCGCCTCCACGCGGATGTCGATCATCTGCTGTCTGTCACGCAGACCGCACCGTCCGCCAGGCAGGAAGCGAGCCAACGGGGAGGAGGCGGCCCCTTCGGGTCCGGATGGAGTGAGGAGACCCCTGGTGGGTGTCACGCAACGACCGGCGCCGTTGTTGTTTCGGACTTCATCCGGATCGCTTTCGCCGCCGATGGGGCCCTCGCGTTTGCGGTGAGGGGGGAGCAGGCGGGAGGACGCGGACTCTTCGTCGCTTTCGCGGCGGCCGCTCGTGCCGCCGCTGTCGCTCTCGGCGTCGCTGTCCCTCGGACTGGGCCGCAGCGACAGGTGGGAGGCCAGGTCGTAGCGCTGCATGTTGGACAGCAGAACGCGGTTCTCGTATTGGAGCTGCATCACCTGAACAGAAGAGAGTCAAAGATGACGTTTTTCGACACATCGAATCTGATTTTTGGGACTCGTCCGAGATCCGAAGAAATCCCAGAGCCAACACTGAAGACCATTTCGAGCAGAGTTGGTGAGGTAGTTCTGCAAAGTCTAGTCCAGTCTGCATGCATCGGGAAACACGTTAAGTCGATAAACTTGTCCCACCTTGCCACTTAGGTCATTGATCTGAAGCCTGGCCGCCTTCAGTTCCTCCTGCAGGGCCTCGGCCTTCGCGCCGTCCATCCCGCCTACCCCCGAGAGTCCCCCGTGCCGGGCCCCGCCCTCGTGAGTGCCGGCTTTGAATCGCATCTTGTTCAGCTCGTTGGTCACCCTCTGGTTCTGTTCCTCCGCGTCGGCGAGGTTCCTCCTCAGAAGCTCCGCCTCGTCCTCCACCAGCTGCAGCTGCTGCCTGAGCTCCGTCAGGTCGTCCCCGAGCCCTCGCCCCAAACCAGGACCCCCCGCTGAGCCGACCCCGGAGCCGCCCTCCCCTTCGCCCTCACCGCGCAGGTCGTCCAGCTCAGCTCGAAGGCCTCGGTTCTCCACCTGGACAAGACGACGAGGAGAGACGGCGGCTCTGACATGCTAACCGTGGCCGTTTGTAATTCCTCCCGAGCCGCTATACATACTTAATTTGCCATTTTCTCATGCTGCCATTCAGTTTTCCTGTCGCAAATAGAGAACATCTGTTTGTACCTGATGCCGTTGTCCACACTCACCTCCAACTCGACTATTTTCCTCCCCAGGATGTTGGCCTCCTCCTCCACAAGGCGGAGGCGCAGCTTGAGCTCCGACTCGCGGGTGGAGGGCGGACCCCCGGCCTCGCCCTTGGGATGGCTGCTGTCCAATTCACCGTAGAAGGAGCGGTACTTTTGCAGCTCTTGCTCCAGACGGTCCTTCTCTTTGTCGATGGTCGCCGTCTTCCTCCTCATGAGTATGGCCTCTTCCTTGATCAAGGCCAACTGGCACTTTAGGTCCTCGTTGTCCTCCTAGACAGAGAGAGGAAAATATGTTCAGGAGTTCAAGATGAAGGACGTTGAATCTGATTTTAAGAAAAGGGATTTAAGATTCCAGCACAGATAGGATTTCGTGTCTTTCTGAGCCAAAACCTCTTGAAATCATTGCCTCACCTCAGTGGGAGTCTGCGCCGCTTTCTTGTCTGTCTTCTGAATGTCCTTCCCTCCCCGTTTCTTCTGAGGCAAGTCAACGATAAAAACATTGGTGAGAAAGTTGATTACAGTGAAACCCCCCCCCACCCCCACCACCCTGCTTCTCTGTCTTTCTCTCCGACAAGTAGCGCCCTAAAGCGGTCGCCCCAGCAGACTATCCGAAGGGGAGATTGCTAGCTAGCTAACAGCACATGGCAAAGACGCCGTATCACCTCCAATGCAAATCAAGCGACTGTCGTTCTTATATGGTGGGGCAAGGGGTGGCTCCTGCCCAAGATATGAGCTACATCACATGGCACTCTTTAGCTCCTCCTCCCCCTGAAATGATGAAAAACCGATTCATGCTATCATTCCTCAATTAAGAACGACACAGTTCATAGTCTTTGCATATTTCGAAAGCAGTGATCGTCAAACGTCGATATTGTGTTTGGAAACAAATCTCGGAATTCACTTTCAGGGTCTTGACAACAAAAAAAAACCTGTGATGTCGTCGTCACAAACCCTCTTCCTTCTGCGCTTTTATTTTGAAGGGTCCACTTCCAGGGATCTTCTGTGTCTTTTTCCCTTTAATTACGAGGGTGCTCCCAAACCTGCAGCTGATCAGCAATCACCTCCTGCGTGTGAGAGCTCTCCTGATCTTCAAGCGGGTTCCAGATGATTCACGCATTATGAGCGGTATCTGCTCGTGCGCACGCTTACCATTTTTGTATTTTTTTTTTTTTTGTGCAAACTCAATCGTTCTTGTTTGTCTTGTTCCAGTGCCTGCCTCCTTGCCCAGCCTGGCTCCACATTTTCCTCCCCGGACCATTTGACCCTGCACCCATCCTTCCTCCATCTCCTTCGCTTTTGCATCCTCTGCCGCCTTTACCTTTGCCACCCATAACAACCTGATCGCGAAAAAAAATTGGCTGCACGAAACACTGTCCTGCCATGCCCAATGTAATGTTTATCTACCCACCTCTTTGGTTTTTTCTAGTTCGTTGTGCAGGGCTTGTTTGGTCACCTCCACCTCAATGAGGCTCTGTCTCAGCTTCTCGTTCTCGTCTTCCGTCTTTGCGCGGGTCTCCTCCACCTTCTCCAACTCGTGGTGAAGCCTCACGGACACATCTTTGGCCACCTGCCCCAGCGGCGACGTGTTGATTTTTGAAACCCGTGAACGAAACGCACTCGTCGTACCTTGAGGTCCTGTTCCAGACTCCTGAGAAGCTCCTCGTCGATCTCCCCCGTGTGGGCGTAGCGCAGGCGCTTCCTCTCGGCCTTGCGCAGGCGGTACTGCAGGATCCGGCAGTTTTTGTTGGCCCGCTCCAGGTCGCGCTTAATGTCCTGCAGCTGACACGTGTCTTCCTCGTAGAACGTGTCACGCATTTCGTCCATCTCGGCCCTCATCTCCTTGATCTCGCACTGGACGGCAAATATTGAGACCATTTTACGAATGATGGGCCGTCAGAACCTAAACACTGTCAGAACCACGACCCGCGGCTTTATTTTACATAATTAGATACAGTATTAGGTTACGTATGCTAATGAGCAGCCCCATCTCTTGTACAAAATGCTATCTCATTGAGCTATGGGGATCGTTACGAGTCGGATCAATACCCAATTACTCAACTGTCGGTTTAGATTCAAGCGTCGTCGAAATGGCGGTTGAATGTGCCGCGTTTGAATCTCAATTCCGACCTCGGTTTTTAACATGTGGTTATCATTGTAGTCGAAGTTTAATTTGCAGTGAGCTAAAGATGTCACATTGTGAGCTATCCCGAATATTTCGGCGTGTCAAAAGATGAGCAACAGTTTTCCATGTGATGCATCCAACCGCAATAATAAGCATGTTGTGATAAATTCACGACGGTATGTGAAACTGAGCATCATTGTCTTTTTTGGCCGAACATGATCGGTATTTCTTTTCTTGCATAGGGTGTGTTTTGCTTGTGCTATTTTGCAGATTGTCACCAATGATCGAATGTATTGGAATTAAATGAGCAAATGAAGGAGGCATTTTTCACACTTTGCCACATCCAATACAGATGGAACTCTTAATTTAAAGTATGTTTCCTTTAAAAGAAAACGAGTCAGAATACTTGCAAGTCACCTGGCATGGTCAGGATGGTTCCACCTCTGCCTCAACTTGAGCCAGGATAAACCCTGATTTTGGTACCCTCGGAATAATTGTAATGTGGAAAATAATTCCTTACATGTCGAGTTTTATAAATATATTGGAAGTTTGAGTACAATGCCAAAAAGGGTGGATGATAGCATTTATGATTGACAGAATGATGTAAGTCAAATGAATTGATTTTGCTTTTGCATGTTGTAGTTCATTAGTTTTGACTATTTAATCACATTGTAAACAAGCAAAGCAACAGCAGTTGATGAAGTTTTTTCCCCCAACCTTCAGGTCGTCGTTTTCCTCTAATAGTCTCTCCATCTCTTCTTCCAGCAGGGCCTCGTCCTGCTGTGTCATAGATGCGTCCTCGGTGGCCTGCGCAACCGGCCGTGAATCTCGAAGAGCAGCCTCCTCCATTTTGTTTTGCTTTTCCTCGCTCCTATGTATTTTTCATCTGCGAGCTCCAAGTCATCCGGCCAACATCCCCCACTCGCTCCACTGTCGAGGCGAATCGAAAGCAGGCCCGGCCGGCGTCGGCGTTCACCGGGCAGCCGCGCAAGCGTAACTCTCTGCCCCCACAGCGCGGTTCTCCCGGTTCGTTCAACCGACGGATGCAAGAGATCCAGTTGGAGGATTCACATGGAACGATGCGGAAGGATGAGCAAATGGACCGAGTGGATAGCAGAAGCATCCGCCCTTTTCAGTGTTCCCGTGAACAGCTTCAGCACCATCCGGGTGAGAGGATGAGCAACACCGAGGCTCTCGGGCTCCCTCTCCCTGCCGTTGGCCTTCCTCAGCCGGCCTGCTTCCTCTGCCTCCCAACCCCCACCCGCAACGCTGGTTCCAACTGTTCCCCGCAAAAAAAAAAAAAAAAGGAGGTCTGGTGCGGGGTGGGTGACCGGGACCTCGCCCCGGCACTTGGCGCGACTTCCTGGCTGGCAGCAACAGGGTCCTTTATTCAGATGCTGTTTACGGAAGGTTTTGTCGCAGCGCCACCATGTGGCACCTCCAAACCACTGCAACTACTTGCCACTGAAATTTGGTGAGTATTTCATCGTGGCATTAAGTTATATTTAATCTTTAATGTTCTTTTTATTGTTGTTTCAGAGTTAATACAGAATATTTGTAATTTTAGTGATGAGGTTTTAAGAAAAATAATTTGCCCAGCACTGAAGTAGCATTTTATGCTAACATAGGCTTACTGACTGTGCGGTTGGAACCCCCCAAACTTTACGTGACTGGAAAAGTTGACTTTTATGACACATTACACGCTTTTGCCCTCCACTCACATTTTTTTTCCTGGCCATAGGAATACGACGGCTACTCGTTCGTCCAGCAGAGGGCGTAATGTACTCACAAACCAGACGCTGTGCATATGGAAGAGGAGGAGGAAGGTAAATAAAACGCTGACTGTTTCTTCTGCTGGGAGAGAAAGAGCTCCTTTGCTAATGAGATGAGTTAGTGGAGGGTCAGGTTGACAGGGTTTAACCCCCTCCTGGCGACCCTTTAACCTCTCCTAGCAAAACTATGTACATTTCTGTATCGTTAATGGTAAACGTTGGTTTTTGCAACAACAGTTCATTTCCAGCCAAGTCTGACAATTTTCTCAGCCATTCTGAGCAGCTTTTTGCAATGGGGTGGAACACACTGGGTTATTGTGGCCAGGCAGCTAAACGCTTCTGACTGAAAATCCTCGGCCCTCTTGCAATCCCTTTTAAATCCTCGGTCTTACGTCCATCTTGTGTCGGTTTCACACTGCGTAACTCTAAGGTTCGATTCCAGGTTTCAGCATTCCTCTGTGGAGTTTAACCTGTTCTCCCCTGTGCTCCTTTGTCTGATACGAGCATAAAAATAAACATGCGATGTGATGCAAAAGGACTGAAATCTTCACGGTCAAATTTAGTTGAGCTGTAAAGTGAATTTCTGGCTCTTCCTGAAAGGTCACCCAAAAACCAAATATCCCCAACTTGTCGTGCAACAGTAATTGTAACAAATAGAAAGCATTTGCAAATTTTTGTTTCTCCATGAGAAACAGCAGGTCTTGATTCTAGAGGAGACCTGATAGCAGATTAGCCAAGGCTTCTCCTCCAGTGACCTGTTTTCCCAGGCAGCCCGTGAAGTGACGTAGCAGTAAGCTCTTTTGCAGCTAAAGCCAATTTGCCCCCAAAGATTAGGGCAGAGCTGTCTGGACAGGTCAAAGGCAGACTCTAGCTTTCTGTAGTTGCCTCTTCTTCCTGGACATAAAACGGAGCAGACACAATCCATAAGGGTGACCGTCACTGTCCTTTACGTTTGTGGCAGTGAGAAGACAACATGGAGCTCAACCTCATTCTCTTTATTCTCGGCTACATTGCACAGCAAAAAAAAATTGAGGACCCACAAAAATAGTGTTGCCAAAGGGGGGAAAAATGCATAAATGCGAGCCATACAAATAAACTACAGTTCTCCACTTCCCCCGACCTGTGTTTTCAGTTATAAAAACAAACACAAGATTCATCGCCATCAATGCAGCACAGTGATAAGTTGGATCTGAACATGTTGCCGAGTAAAATGATTCATTCATTAAATTCCATTGCTGTCCGAATGAAAAGCACGTCTGACATTTTTAAAATTGGAACACAAACGCAAATAAATCAGATAAGAGCAAAAAAAAAAAAAAAATACATTTAAATAGAACAGAGAGGTTTAATCACACAAAATAAATCCAATGCAACAATGTGGAGATACATCTTGTTTATAGTGACAATTTGTAAACATATGCCTTGCCCCGCCCCCCTCCCCCACTTAAAAAATGGGTGGTATCCCTTTTAGTGCTTACTTTGTCAGTGTTACCCAACAAGATCGCCCCGTGGACCACATGAGTAGCCTGCAGGCCTTGTTCTAAAAATAGCTCACCAGTGATGGGACATTGGGATTTCCCGAGGAATGTTGTAGAAGTGATCATTCGAAAATGGAAACGTGAATAAATTGTCGCATTTTGATATTTATCGGTTTTTCTTGTTTTCACATCAATAACAACATATCATGAACATCTGGGCAGCTCTGACTTTCAAAAAAGGTTGGTGACCTTTGCTATCAAATAATCATAACTAGAAGCGGAATTCGACTATTGAAGCGCTCCAAAAACATGACTGGGTTCATTTTGTCAGTTGGATGTGAACTTTTTGGATGGTAAAGTTGACGCGTTTTCAAAAACATTGCGGGTGTGGCGCCGTCCAAAAAAATGTTTGGACAGAACGACGTGGAAACCTATATGTTCAGCGTTTTGCAGCAGCCGCTGCGCAATCATTTTGCACAGGTGTTGAAGCGGTCGCCACATCTCCCACTCGCCATCCTCCTTTTCTGGCCCTTTAAACATGTCCTCCCGCTCATCGCCCGACGGGCCGTCCTTTACTCACGCTTGGCCCGTCCCTTCTTTTGTCTTTTGCTGTTGTCCGGCATCACCTCGTCTGCTCTGCTGTGGCCGTTGGTGGCCTTTGCGACGCCGTTGGTGACGGCCTTCGCTTGGCCCTTGTGCGCCGCGGACGGCTTGCGTCGGTACGCGTGGTAGTAGAAGTTAGCGAAGAGGATGATGAAGGTGACGGCGTAGCCGATCAGGGCCCACTGCATCCAGTTGGGGAAGGGGCAGCCCGTGTAGAGGGAGTGGCCGGCGTGGCCGATGGTCACGTGGAACTGGATCTGATGGACACAGAAGCAAAGCGAAATGACTTGACTGACGATTTTAGCCTCTTTCTCCATCGCCCGAGATTTGAAATGTGTCTGTTGACAAAATGGGCGGGAGGTAAATTCCTTCCAGGGTTGACGGAACGCTGGCCGTAATTTACTTTTATGCACCGGTGGGCAAGTGGATCAAAAAATAGACTTAGTGGAATGAATCGACTTTTCACTTGCTTGGATTAATGTCACCGACTTGCTTTTTTCGATGCGAGATCGGCGGTTAACAAGCTGACTCGATTTTTAACGTTTTAAATAGACCTGTGGGAAAATGTCTTCCACAAACGCGATAACAGAGGGTTGGTTCCCTTTCTGTCCTTGAAGATGTGACAAGCACGCCACGAGATATTGGATTAATTTTTATCATCAGACATGCACGTAAACTTTTAGAATTTTTTTTTTTTTTTTTGTGTGTGTGTGCGCTGATTCCGAATCTGTTCCATTTTTTTCTCACACACATCAGATGTTAGTCATAAAAATATAAAAACGACAATGTAAAATACTGCTGTAATATATTTAGTCCTACTTAGGATTTCAAGGTTAGGTTCATCAACAGGTGGATTTTTATTTTATTTTTTTTAATAAAAAAAATTGTAAATCTCAAAAACAATGCGCTCGAAAAAAAAATTAAATCAGCATAAAAAATACATTTTAACGACATCTCTGATTAAAATTTGCTGTTGACCAGTGCTATTCCTGACATCCACTCTATTTATACTCCTCACAAACGGGTTCCACTGAATCAATTTTCGAAAGAAAATAGAAAGATGGCCAAACGTTTTGGGGAATCTAATGGCACAACCACAAACAATTCATCTTTTTGCCACCCGGGAGTGCCCTGGTGCCTAATGTTTGCAAACATGCCAACTAGAAAGCTAGTTAGTTAGCTGGATATTGATGTATTACCATCTGCATAATGGTGAGGTATTTCTTCCACCAGAGGTACTTCTGCATCTGCGGTCCCAACGCAGCCAGACCGTAGTAACCGTACATGACGACATGGATGCCCGAGTTGATAGTTGCGCCAAAGAAAGCTGTGCAGAGCAAAACAGTTTTCAAAAAGAAAACAAAAACCTCTTCATAAAAAAACACTAACAGAGAATGATGACATGTAACATTTTAAAAACTCGTTCAGTACCGGCCAATTCTGGACCAAGTCTGAAAAGACGTTTAAAAACGTCTTTGGGAGTGAATGAGTTAAAGGTGAGATTGCAAAGATTTTTCTGACTTCACGCGAATGTTTTCCCGTCTCACCTTGCCCACCAGGGACCCACTTGATGCCGATCCACCAGAGGATGAACATGGTGCAGTGATGATAGACGTGGAGGAAGCTGACCTGGTTGAACTTCTTCCTCAGGATGAAGAAGACGGTGTCCAGGAACTCCACCCCTTTGGAGATGTAATACCACCAAAGAGCAGATGCTATCTAAAGACAAGGAAATGGAAGAAGACGAGTGAATCATGGCCGTGAGTACCTCTGCTTCATTTCAACCCTATTAAATATAGCCGAACGATTACTCGTGTTCACGTCGACATCACAACTGCAAATTGCAAAGGCTGCAATTTCGGCCGGGGGGAATCACTTCCAGTATGTATGTGAGATATAGTTCATAATAAATAGCGTAATCTTGATTTATAAGTGGTCCGACTTACACATTTTCCAAGCTACCAGTTGGTGATTCAGAATGTTTGTGAGCAGTTTTAAGTGTAGTTTTTACTGATGCATTTTTACATACGCAATCACCGATTGCTACTTGTTGTTATTGTTGTTGTTGAGCAACTTCCAACTGATAGCTGCTTCAAAAGCCGCTGTGTCTCGGGTACCTGAAAACCCAGTTGTTGGTTGTTGATTGGGAACTTTTCGTAGCCCGAAGGCACACCCAACACCGATTGGAGGGTCGTCCCCGAGTTGGGCACCGATTGCTGCTTTTACCGCTGCCCGGTGATGAAGCGCGGGGGAGCAATGACGTGGTCACACCAAAGTTGCTCTCTGTCAGCCATGCGACCGTGACATTTCTTATCCTGGGCTCGTGCTTCCCTGAACGGCCTGCTGGTGGGCGGAGCTTTAGGCTGGCGACATAGTCGCTCCACGTATCACGGGCAATATTTAGTCAACGCCAGCTAGCCAGTTTAGCGGTTGACTTTTTTGTTGTTGTGTTTTTTTTTTTTTTACATAAATTTTGTTTTATCATTGTGAATTATATCTTCCAAAATGTCTTGATGCCTTGTAAATGGGAGTGTGTGCTTCCATTGTGTGTGTGTGTGTGTGTGTGTGTGTGTGTGTGTGTGTGTGTGTGTGTGTGTGTGTGTGTGTGTGTGTCTTCTGGAGATGGAGAAGGCTCACCCTAACTTCATTGACGTCGTCGGAGTAGTTGACAGGTTGACAGAGGTAGCTGTAGCCAGCCGCTCTCGAGGCGAGCAGGAGCTGTTTGAACAACAATTCAAGTCTACGTTGAGTTCACACATCAGTGACTTTCTTTCTACTTTTGAAGTATCCCACTTTTACTGTTCTATTTTAAAAGGCGGTGCAGTTCAACGAGTTCAGGTCTGTCTTTTGTTCTGAATAAAGTAAAAAAAAAAAAAAAAAGCCTAAAAATATTTTAGAGTGAGCAGTATTCATACTGAGTGTGCGGGTTGGCAGGCAAACAGCGGGGAACGAGCATGGTCATTAAATCGGCAGTCTTTACTTTCTTTATCGACTATCAGGGGCTGGCGCAGATAAATGTTGACCCAAACGAGGCCCAGCTTTATGGCCTTGTAGTTCCGAAATTTGCAATCTGACTAGTTAAAGAAACAGTCCCACTGCTAATGTCATTTAAGATGTATCAGCGTGCACCGCTGTATCAAAATGCCTCGGGAAGATTCGGTTTACATGGCAACAAAGAGGCTGAAATCTGATTGGACCAAAAAAAAAAAATAAAAACTAGACTGGAAGCAGTGCAGCAAAAAGAACCACTATGAAATTCCAGTACAATAATAGACTGTTGGAAATAAATGAATACAATTTCATCAAATAGTGCAGTTTTGATAAGAAATGTAGGTCGATTTCAGGTTATGCAAATCATCCGGAATATACAGCGAATGAATTCTAAGAAACAATTGAAAGTATGTGGCGCCGACCTCTTTGGCGATGTAGAAGTTGAGGACCACCATGCTGAAGTTGTAGACGATCAAGGTTTTCCTGAGCGTGTAGGGCTGGCGGTCCTGCATGTATCTAGGCCCCGCCCACAGGAAGAGCAGGTAGAGGCAGCTGATGACCAGTGTGGGGCAGGGCGACGACATCAGCGGCCACGTTTCCACCCGCTTGTCTGGAAAAATGCATTGATGTCACATCATTTAAATGCTGCTCTTGTATGGATTTGGGGGGGTGGGGACAAAAAATGCAGACTCACCTGCTATAGTAAGGCTCCATTTGTAAAACTCTACTGTGTCATTGACCAAATGCATTACACCCTCCATGGTGTTGCCTTTGCACTCAATTATACTGTGACAGGGAGACAAAAAGGCATGTGAAGATGTAAAAACGGAATTACTGACCCGACTGTGTCAATGCAGGCGATGTCGATAGAGTGACATATGAGCTTTGTATTCAACTCAACAGGTTCAGATTTCACACTAAGTAAATTGAGACAAGAATCGTTATTATCGCAGTGTTTCTGTTTGCTGGTCTTGCCGTGTGATGTTACGAATTTAAATGACAGTGGCTAGAAAAGAATGTCGACAGAACGTTGTATAAATGCCAGAAACACAGCATCAAGACATGCTTCACCATGCTTTGCTCTAGGTATGGTGTTGTTTTGGTGACGAGCCATGTTGTGTCGGATTGGTTTTCTCGGTTTGTAAAGAAATCTCCCAAACATGTGAGAAAATGTGCCATGGTCTGGTGAAACGGACCATGTTGTGGCCTATTAGTGCCAAGGAACTAAGTTGAGGTTAGGAGCTTCATTTAGACAGGCCAATGCCAGGTCTAATAGAAAAGTAGTGCTTGACCACTGTTCTCTGGCATCACAAATACATTTTTTTTCTCACCAGTGCTGTTTTTTGGAGTAATTTCCTTAGCATTTGTGTCTGTCGAAATTCCCGCCAATTCTCTGATTGTGCTCCAAAAATTATGCTTTGCAACAAGCAGTCAATCAAATATGTGACACTCGACGACAGATGCCCTTCGACAAGTTGTGAAAATCTGCGAATCGTTGAATGGTTGGAAATTATAGGATTTGACCCTGTTTTTTGGAGTAATTTCCTTAGCATTTGTGTCTGTCGAAATTCCCGCCAACTCTCTGATTGTGCTCCAAAAATTATGCTTTGCAACAAGCAGTCAATCAAATATGTGACACTCGACGATACAGTGATACGACAGATGCCCTCCGACAAGTTGTGAAAATCTGCGAATCGTTGAATGGTTGGAAATTATAGGATTTGACCGGCGAGGTATATCTGGGACATTCGCCTCATTCACTTCGTAGTGTTGCATAATCGCCTGTGTGATGAGAGCAGGTGTCTGTTTATTAATCTATAATTAATCCCCGTGCACCAGACCAGATCCACTTTCAATAATTCAATGACTATCCTAATGCTGTTTGGAATTGACGAGAATTACCCTCCATGTTTATTTACGTGGACAAGGTCGTTTAAAAACGGCTTCTTTTTTTCCCCCTCGTGTGTTTTTTGCACGCGCAAAAACTTGCATCAAAGAGTGTTGGGGTATTCACAAAAAGACGGCGGCGCATGCGTCAGCAGGTTCTTGTGTCGGGGCGCTCAAGAGGCTTAAATTCAATTGATCAACGAGCTTAGAGGCGCTTGCAGGGCCTAAGTACAAATGCCAGTTGCATGTTTCACGCTCCGCGCACAGAAAAAGCCCATTTGCGTCTACTGAATATTGTGTCCATTTCCAGCTTCCAAAATAGATCAATTCGTACTCACATTGCAGTTTAATAGATTTGAGTTCGAATCGGATTGAATTGAACTTTCATTATATTGCACCGCAACCGTTATCTTTCCTATAATAAACCCGAAAAATAACACTGGAAACGACTCTTGTAATTCTACACGTACGTGGACGCAACACGGCAAAAAAAAAAACGAAAAATGACAAATTAATACTCACAGTACTTACCTCTTTGCTATTTAAGAGGCGTTTAATGACATCCGGTGCAATTGATCTCCCAGCGTCACACCTCGTCCGTCTTCACTGGGCTCCCGTTACCCCTCGACATTAAATATGTTTATTTATTTTTTTTTTTAATAAATAGGCAAGAAACTACTCAAGCAAGGCAAGCAGACTAAAAAGGTTTCTCGGGAAGGCGGGCTAATTTACGGTGTCGATGCGAGCTGCCGCTTAGCCTGCTCATCTTCTCGCCGTCCAACTCGAGGAGCCGGCTGTCACTGCGCATGCGCCCCTCATCTCTGGCGTGACGCCGGCCTGATAGTTTTTACACGACCAACCCTCTTCAGCCCATTATAATGGTGATTCTTATTATTCATTCATATACGCCAAACAAAACAGTTTTACACTCAAAACTGTCATTATTCTTTTTTTTATTATTGTTATTATTATTATTTTTTTTTTGTCCATTTAATTGTCGCTCAAGTGTAACGTGGTAATGGCCGAACGGATTGCAGGTGCTTGCTTTGCCCACGAGATGGCAACGTCGAGCTGACCTCAAGACAGGGTTCAACGCTCTCAAGTGGCGCTTCTTTTTGATTTTTTTTATTTTTTTATTTTTTATATTCAGCTATATTTCCAAAACAACTTTAGGACATAACTATTCAATTTGCGTCCAGTGTGTGCAGTGCCAAACCTGTTTTTGCACCTCAGAGTGGTTTCACGTCAAAGTGTATTTTGACAGATTTTTTTTTTTTTTAGTACACTTTTCCCCTCCTTTGGTGGTTTAGATCATATTATGCAAGTATTTGTTTAAATGTCTCCGCTAATCGTGGATCTGTGGTGCGACTGTGGGTTTTCGTGGGTACAACTGGGAGATCAGTGGGTGCTAAGCGGATCCATAAAGTGCTGTTATTCAAATCATTGAGAGAACGGAGAGTCATCATTAGTATGTGTGTGAGTGTGTATTGACACTACAAATGACACTCCCAATTACTGTAATTGACGCTGTCAGAGAGGTATACACTTAACTGTGTTTTTTATTGCTGTTGTATCGAGGAACCCGTGCATGTCAAGTGCCTCACAACATGTAAAATTTGGAGTTTAACCATCATTTTAGGTCGTAATTATGCATTGAAAGTTGTACAATTTTGAAAATTACATGAAAATAACTTAAATTGTCAACATAGTTGTTTCAGCTTTCATGTTTAACTAAGTACGATAATTCCTATTTTTTGTTCTCAGTCCTGGTCGGTTGATTTCAGATAGTCAGCATTGGTCAGCTTTTTGTAAACAACGGAATGTGACTGGGATATTCATGTGGATTAGTTTTTTTTTTTAATTCCCAGAATAACTCGTTTTTCAAGTTACAAGCTATCCACCGCTTGCCCCTCCCCCCATCATGAAACGCCACCACTTAGCGAAGTGAACAAAAAAAAAAGAGTCATTGAGTTCATTTGGGCAGGAAAATCCACAGGTGCCAATTATTACATTGAACTAAGAGTCAAGCATGCAAACTCAAGAGCCAACTCCAGTACCTGTTGTCACTGACAAGGCCACGCCCCTTAAAGGCACACATCAGACATAGAACTCGTACAATATGTCCACTAATTACCCTCAATAAACCAGTTTATTTCGTCACATTTTCTTAAATATTGTGTGTGTGTGTGCGCGCGCGATTGTATGTGTGTGTGTTTTCATCCTTTTATTTGTTTTCAACCATCGGTTAAAATAACAACACCCTCACCATGTCATCCTTCTCGGCTCTTTCCATGTTCAAAATGGCAAACAAACACATCCCAATGTGGAAATTGCCACTGAGCGAAGGCGTCGCCATCCAACCACCCCGAATCATACATCATGCCGAATTATTAGTCTGTTATGACAAACGCAGCATGTGCAACAACCACCAAATGTGTGAGGGAAATTTCACTCACTCACTCTCTCTCTCTCCCTCGCTTGCTCTCCCTCCCCCCGTGTAGCACCTGGGACACGCCATTTTCCAAATACCTCGGGAGCCGTTTGGGGAAATACCACTCGGACAAAACATATCCGCAACCGTTCAAAGGCAGCCTCTTATTTCAAGACTTCCTTTTGCTAATGCTTTTGTTACAGTGTCAAACACGTGAAGAGTTTAGCATTTATTTACTGTCAACGCTCACATCATGTAATTGATCATTTTGACGCTCGAGTAATTGTTGACAGAGCTTGTTTCATTGTATGTTTAGTTTGTGAATGAGCTTCAGCTTCTTAAAAAGAAATATTCTCCGATTTCTGTTCCCCCCCCCCGTGAAAGCAATTTTTGTGTCGAATCAAAATAAGACGTTTGCAAACATCTGCTTTTACTTTGGAAAAAGACGATCCACATTTTTGCCCATTTTCAGACATTTTACCGACCAAACCAGTTCGTGAATCCCAATTTATGCTTGTGCATCTTCTGCACTTTTGCATTGTCAGTTTGAAATCATATCCTGTCAAGAATGGAAATGTATTTATTTATTTTTATCCGTTAATTGAGTAGCGAAATGGAATCTTCTCACATTTTTTCAAATATGTTCCCCACTGGCACGTGTGCTAATGTGTGACGGGCGCCACTTCTCATCACCCTCCATCATCGATAATGTAATATTCACATGCCATCGTTACGCGGCTCTTTTTTCCCCCTCTAATTGCAGAGTGTCACTCTCCTTTAAGCGGGTGTGTGCGTGTGTAATGTGAATCCAGTGTGCTCCTTTACAGTCTTTTCATCTGGTTTTAATTGGAAAGGCAAATACATATCAAGCCGACATTTGACTGGTTCCATTCAGTAGCCGATCTCGCTCCTGCACTCTGGCCACAGTGTTTCGATATATGCGGTTATTAAAGCTCGTCAAAGGACTGTTTCCTTTGCTGCTCCTCATTAAAGCTTAAACTGCATACATACCATACGTACGTTCCAGTCGCCTGTTTTTTTTTCGGTGTTTTTTTGCCGAAGGGAAGTTGCATTTTCGGGCCAGAAGCGCTCTAGCCCTTAACGCAGCCCAGATGACGTGGGCTCTGCTTTTTGTTGTTTCTTCACTCTTTCTCACACTTTTGCTTTTTTACTTCCTCCTTTATGGCTTCCTGTAGCCAATGAACCATTTTTGCAGTCAAATTATGATTAAGAGTGCCTACATTCTAATTTGTCTTCCATGAGATTGTATTAATTTACCCCGAGCAGTTACTTCACTTCATTTTATAGTGTTTCTTACGGTTGCGGCATGTTTATGTCGTATGTTTTGTATGACTTTTTTTTTTTTTTAATCCAACTAGGTGTCAGCCTCTGTGTGTTGCCACATCAATCTAATCAGCCCGGGGGTTCCTCAGAATCATCAGGGTGGGCCAATGAGACCGTTTCTTTAACCGCTTCGATTTTAGAAGTCACCCCACGATGACGCCATCGATTTGTACCAAAACAAGTTTATTGAGCATTTCTTTATAAATATCGTAAGTGGGTTCTGTAGTAAGCCTCCTCTCACAACCCAGGTACCAAATGCATGGCACCTAAAAAAAAAAAATTCTAAGGTGATTAAAGCTCACTCGAGGACAGTCAGTATGAGAAATCACTCCAGCCTGGAATGCTTACGGTAGAGTCCCGTCGCCGTCCGTTCCGAATGTCTTGCGTCATCATTCATGTAGCACACAGGTGTCAAAGTCAAGGCCCGGGGGCCAGATTTGGCCCGCCACACCATTGTATGTGGCCCGCGAAAGCAAATCAAGCGGGCCAAGTTCCATGATGCTTGCTGAAGTCTGAACCCAAATTTCAAATCGTCATATGTAATCCACAAAAACAGTCATTATTCTTGACTTCTGATTGAATTGAACTAGTTTATTCATCAATTTGTTGTGCGCTGTGTATGTAATCTGTGGAGCGGATTAAACATTTATATGGTTTCCCAAAACTCATAACGGCCCTCCGAGGGAAACGTAACTACAATGTGGCCCGTGACCAAAATGAGTTTGACACCCCTGATGTAGCATAAAGTGGCCTGCTAACGACCCAAAACGACAGGCAAAAATACAGCCCCATTGCTCCATCTTTTTTCCATCTCCACCGTTCCCCTTGCACCAAACGGTAGATTCCCGTCCGTCCGCTCCCTGTCTTCCGATATTCAAATGTGCTCGTTTTTTGCGATTACTTAATGGAAGTTTTTTTTTCAGAGCTACCCGGGTATTAGCATGTCTTTGTTGTCAATATAGACATTTTTTTTTTTGTCCAAATTGTCTTTTCTCAATTCTTTCATTTGGTGATCCATGTGGTGTTAATTGTGACATAGTAAATGAAATACATAAGAATTATGATTTTTTTTTTTTAATTAGCAGAGTTTGCCAAGGTACCTGTCCGTCACAGATGAAGGGAAAGTATACAATGCAATATAGGTCCTGTGGTTCTTTGGGTTGTGGTGGTGGTGGTGGTGGTCTGACTCTTGACTGACTGCGCCCCCTTCCCCTCTGAAATAAGAGTCTTGGCTCCAGGCTGCCGACTTCCTTCATAAGGAATGACATTCTTTGTCCCTGCTTCAGACATACCGATGAAACCGATGCGCCTCTCTTTATTAAAAAACAGAAAAAGCATCAGTTCATGCAAGACTTAAAAGTTATTGACACCTAAGCATGGTCGTGCCATGACAACATGAACTTTCCATGTTTAAAGAGTCTGCGAATATTTTTTAAGGGTAAATATTTTCCTCTCCAGACTTGAGCTAGCGAGAGGCAACTGCCTTGGCAGGGCCGCAGGAAATCTGAGCACCATGCAGGATCTGTCCTCAGTTGGCACCCAGCGTGGGCCGCGCACGACTTTGGCCGCACGAGTGTAGAATTAGTCAGACGACGCAACCCCGTGGATGTGCCGCAAATTCACCCAAAAACAAGCGCAGCGACAAAATAATCATTGTTTTCCAGATCATTTTTAGCTTTCGCCCGACGTCAGCAGAAAGGATCCGCAAAAAAGTGTGGCACGGCTGTCAGTTGTCCACGTGAGGTCTTTCCAGCACAGTGTGGTCACTAATTACAGCTGCTTCAAGCCCAGTTTTTCCTAAAACTCCTTCGCCTCAATTTTTGAGAACCCGGCAAGCCATCCAAAGCGATCCCTTGTGCAGATATAACCCAATAAACTCTCAGATCTTTTAATATTGCCTCCAAGTAAACGGAGGCAAATGGGAACGCTGGTTTAGCCCCGGCATCTGTACTCTTTACTCCTTATGTTGACAAAATGGGCACGTTAGTCATTGAATAATAAATGGAGAGTCAGCCACAGGTGAC